CCCAGCTGGGAGAACAGGCGGCGCAATCGATCCCCTCGCTTGTTGTGCCAACAACACGTGACAGTACGCGCGCCCAATATTATTGTGGGCAAACAGTGCACGTTCCCGAGGTGGGCAATGTGGTAATAACGGAGGAGCATATAATGCAAGCTGAAGTTCTCCAACATCACTGTTGGACAACTCCTCGAGATCGAGCCCATACCTTTGCTTAGAGAGGATGAAATAAAACGGAAATATGTCCGAGGCCAACCTTTGGTCGCGCCAGACAAGGTCAAGAACCTCCCAACGAGAATGTATGAATTGCATCAATGGTACATGAACATTAGCAAGATTTCGGATCGATTGTCCCTAATGGTGAATGTCAAGGAGGAGCATTACTTCCATGAGAAAGCTGTGTCCGTTGAATATACTGAACTATTTCAGTTATACAATCAAGACGCACTCGACAAATCTATCGTTAGTTGCTATTGTCTGTAAGTGATTTCTTTCTGTAATTTAAGTCTCAAGCTAGTTGTAGTGATCCTTTTGATCAATCATTACCTGTAATTATCCTCACTATATTCTTTTCTGTGGTATTATGCAGGATGAAGATGTATGAAATGAGAAAAGGTGGACGCTTTGGCATTGGGTTCATTGACCCAAACACCGTTAATGAATACACATGGCTAATGAATCCACGTCAGCAAAGGAACGTAGAGGACAGCATGCTAGAGTTCTTGAAGCGCCTCAAATACAATGAAGATATACTACTTCCTTATAACTTACAGTGAGTCACACTGTCTTGAACTACAAATTCTCTGTTTTTGCCTACTAGCTAGCTACATGTTTTTGCTTACATATGCCCGCTTAATTAAGACATGCAAACGTGTGTGCATGAAGATTTCACTGAGTCTTGTGTATCATTAAAGTTGACAACGGAACAATTGAAATACTGGACTCACTACTCAAAGCAAAAACTGACTATAACATCTTGTTTGGGATAGTCAACGGGTAATTTCAATCATTATTAACTATATATCTTGGCCTATTTAGTTCGTCATTTCATGATATGAACTATTTAATAACCCCTTTATTCATTTTCTTTGTCGGCGGGGCAGGGCTTGGACAAGGTTCATCAAGGTCACGGAAGGCGAATGGAAACCAAAGCTTAAATGGTTTCGATTCAAGGTAAGCAATTAAGTAGTACTAGCTAGCTAGCTAGCTGCCATCTCTTTAATTATCATGCTTGATTAATTATTATCTGATCAAATTTCATTCTCGTAAAGACCCTGAAGCAGGCGTAGGGGACTAATTTGTGTGCATTCTACGTTTGCGAGAACATTCGCATGATGGCGTCCGAAAGGAGCAGATCTTAAAGACAGAAATGTGTACGCTTGTCAGAACACTATTCACAATTTTTACACCATTATCGATATCTAGTCACACAAACTAATACACATGCATATTGATCTCCTTCTTAACAGTTCAAAGAGGTGTGGGAGAAGCTCCTAGAAACGGAGCGCGTAGAAGCACTTCAAGAGGAAATAGCGGGATTTTTGCTCGACCAGGTCATAAATCCGAAGGGAGAATACTATTACCCGCTACCGCCCCCATGAAAACCACTTCCAATTGTCATCGTGCTCCGAAGGCACCAATTAGGCTAATGACACTGGCTCCGAAGGCAACATGCATATGTAGGAGAAATTGTATATAGCTATACATGTGTGTATGTATGAATTAATTAATATGGTGGTTTGTGAGACATTGATGATATATATATATATATGCATGATTGGTTCTACTAGAAATTCTATATATATATATATATATATATATATATATATATATATATATATATATATATATATATGCATAACGTGTACAATGTGTAGTATCGTAAAATAACAGCAAACGAAAAAGAATTAAAATGGAAACACAAAATTAAATGAAAAAGAAATCATAAAACTAAAACCCCCAAATCTTATAGTACCGGTTGGTCTTACCAACCGGTACTAAAGGGCTCCAGGCCCCCGGAGCTGACTCGTGCCACGTGGTTGTCCTTTAGCACCGGTTCGTGCTGAACCGGTACTAGGGGGGGCCTTTAGTGACCACAATTTAGTGTCGGTTATGTAACCGGCACTAAAGGGCCTTACGAACCGGTGCTATTTCCCGGTTCTGCACTAGTGTATCATTGTGCAAGTGCGCTTGAGCTAATTTTTTTTTCATATTTCAGGTATCACAAATTTATATCTATATTGTAGCATGAACAATATTTTCGCACTCTGTGATTAAATTGTTGCTCCAACTATTTTATCCAAAACTGTAAACCGATGGGGAAGGTTGGGCAATATAACCCCCTTCTCGTCGGTGCTCCAACCACCAACCGGCGCCTCACCACTGCAACATTCATGCCACAACACCAATGAGACTAGCCTCGCCAAAGGCCACCGCATCACCAAATCCAGAGCACTCCAGCAACGACATCAGCCAAATCGAGGCACACACCAAGCACCGGAGCACCCACCGCAGATCCCATCCTCGACGGTCCCATAGCTCGCGTCGTGGCAAGCAAGAGCAGCCGACTACCGAACTGGACGGGACCCAGATCGACGACACCGAACCAACCTCCAGCTGCCACCATGGCTACCACATCGCCGAAGGGACAGGATGGCCGCCGTTGTCGTGGGAGCGATTCCGACAGTAGAAAGGGGTTGGATAAAGGAGCATGATCTATCGAGATGCAAATGGGTGGCATGGTGTTTTTAGCGAGTTTGAGCCTCTTGCGGTGAAGACAACAACCCTATGTCTCGTGCTCCGAAGAGGCTTGTTTTATCTGAGTATATGAATCTGGAGATTACAATATGAGGGAGAGGGGAGAACGGATCTTCATGTCCGAGCTAAGTCATGAGACTAATGGCGAGAGAACCAGGGGAGAAGAATGAGCCTACCCCAGTCTAGTGGTGCGGGTGGCTTATATAGAGTGCGCCACCCCCTCACCTCTTATGTTACAACGTGGAGCATCAATGCCATACTGTCAGCCCACTATGAAACCGCCACGCTGACTATTGTTCTTCATATGTTCGAGTGAGTTGATAGTCATCCGAGTGGATGGTATGTTGATTGTTCGAGTGATGCTAGCCTAGCCGTCATCCGAGTAATGTTGACATACAAATCATCAAAGTAGCTTCATGTATGGTATGAAATTGATCTGGGCCCATCTGTCATATGGGCCCCATGCTTTATGATATTTTGACCGTTCGTGGGCCTATCTGTTATGTGTATCCCCAACAACTGCCGTCACAACCAGGGAGTGCCGTCCTGGTCGCCGCGCGTGGAGACAAGGCCAAACGCCGAGCACCGCCGCCACCTCCTCCATGGGCCGCGGACAGTCAGCGCCGGAGTAGCGGCGCACCCGCCTACGCTAGACGCGACGATCCTCGTCGGTGATGAGCCGCGACGGAGGCGCGAGTTCCTGCGCCGGCTCGCGCGTCTCCACGTCGGGGAAGTTCATCTGCGCCGGTGGCCTCGAGAGGTGCCACGCCGCCGCGTCGTACGTCCGGGTGGCCTCGTGGGCGGTCTCGAACGTCCCGAGACCGAGACGTGTATTACCGGAGCGGATCTCCATGTAATACACGTTAGAGGGGCGAGCGTGAACGCCGCGGTAGCCGGAGCTGTTCCGAACGTGCGGCGGCATGTCGGTGGCGGGGGAGAAGGCGCGGCGGAGTGTGGAGAAGGGCGCAGATCCTCACCCACAAGCTATTCTTGGACTCCGCGCTGCCCACCAGATTGAGTTGGAAATTATTGTTCACATCATAGTTGTTCTTCCACGCAGTTTCTTTCGGTGAAGCAAATGTTTTCTTTGAACATACTTGTTTCTTCATATGCCAATAAATTGCTTCTACAGCATGGAGAAAATGTAATGTTGGCATACCATATACTTTCTCCGTCCCAAAATAAGTGTCTCAAGCTTGGTACAACTTTGTACTAGCTCTAGTACAAAATTGAGACACTTATTCCGGAACGGAGGGAGTAGTTTCTACCGGTCAAAAGAAAATCTGTCACTCTAAAACGGAAGCTTACTGTGAAAAAATGCACCTTGAAAGAAAATGTTGCTAATTTTTGTTTTTTTGGGGGGGAAGGGGGGGGGGGTCATATTTTTTTTGAATGCCAATATGGCTGGTTTTATTAATTAAAATCACACTAACATCGTCAATTAACAACGATAAAATAAAGCTAGGGGGGTCATCTGCCCAAAACACTTCTCTGAATTACACTCCCGGGCTAGCGTATGTGCGACACGGTTCGCTTCCCTTGGACAATATGTGAACTGAACGTTGCCGAACGAGCTTGCCTGTATACATATGTCCTCGAATATTGGCGCTGCAGTTGTCGCAGAAAAACCTCCATTATGAAGAATATTAATAACTTCTGAACAATCTGATTGAATTACCAATTTCTGGGTCATATTTGTGGGACATAAATTGCATATTCTTTTTTTAGGGTATAAATTGCATATTCATTGTGTAACTGTTGGCTAACCCTAATTTGACCGAACTTTGAATGGAGGACACATGCCACAAGTCCACATACGTTTCCTTGGTCAATCCAGTGCTCCAGAAATCAATCATCGTACGGCACAGATAGGAACTACACTAGGGTTCTCGCCCTCCTCTCGCATCCGCTCCTCCGGCGATTGGCTTTCGCAGTTCGCTGTTCGCCACCGCAACCAGCCCGAACTTGTTCTCTTGTATTTTTTGCGTGCTCCTGTTATGCCTAACTACTCTCCGTCCTCCGCGTCGGCCATTGTCGCCGATGCAGTGTCCGGATCGCACGTCCTCAAGATCGAGGGATACTCCCTAACCAAGGGGTGCGGTACCGGTGAATTCCTCAGATCCGAGATCTTTGTCATCGCAGGCCATCGCTGGCATATCAAATACTTCCCCGATGGTGTGGTTTCGGACTACGCCGACTGGATTGCCATCTTCGTGCAACGTGATGATGACACCGATGGTAAGGACATCATGGCGAGACTCTGGATCAGCTTACTTAACCACGATGGAGAATCTGTGCCATCGCATGACATCATAAGTTCTCAGTTTGAAAAATATTCTCCGAAAACTGCACGAGGATGTAAGAAATTCATGAAAAGGAAAGATTTGGAGGAGTCAAGCTATCTCAAGGACGATTGTTTCAGTATCAGGTGCCATGTCACCGTCAGGAATGAGATCCGCACCTTCAAGACAGGGTCAGGGGTCACGACGTTGGTCGACGTGCCACCGTCCAACTTGCACCGGCACCTGCTCGACCTCCTCACCAGCGGAAAGGGAGGGGACATATCTTTTGAGGTGGGCGGTGAAACGTTCCGGGCACATAGGTACATCGTCGCTGCTCGGTCCCCGGTCTTCATGGCGGAGCTCTTGGGTCCTATGAAAGAGAAGGCGGCAGCCTGCATACGGATTGATGGCATGGAAGCTAAAGTCTTCAAGGCGATGCTTCACTTCATCTATACCGACTCTTTGCCTAATATCGACGAGGATGAAATTGTGGGGATGGCACAACATTTACTTGTCGCTGCGGATAGGTATAACCTGGAGAGGCTCAAGTTGATGTGCGAAGAGACGTTGTGCAAGTCCATCAACAAAGACAGCGCGGCGACTACATTGGCGTTGGCTGAACAACATGGTTGTGATGGTCTCAAGAAGGCATGCTTTGAGTTCCTCACTTCTGTTGACAACCTCAAGGCAGTCATGGCAAGTGATGGTTTTGCACATCTGAAGAGCAGCTGTCCTTCCATCCTAGAGGTGCTGGTCACCAATCTTTCTCGCTGACTTCTTCACTATAGAGCAACAAAACCTGAAGATTTTAGAAAATTATTATGCAATCGTCATGCTACTACCATTACCCTTTAACCATGAAAAGAGAGGTTCAAGTGTGTAACTGCATGTATCAACTACTCCCTCTGTAAAGAAATATAAGAGCATTTAGATTACTACTTTAATGATCTAAACGCTCTTATATTTGTTTACGGAGGGAGTATATATTTGGGCTCAGTACTTTTTTCAAAATACGAAGAGTAAATTGATTTGAATTATCTTTTATAGTGCGCTAAGTCTAGGCCGTTCATTCCCCTTTGATTTAATGACATCATGACTTATTTCAAGGGAGTATATAGTTCTACCGGGAGGCAAGGCAATATGTGACCTAGGATGGTTGAGTATATATATAGCTGGAGATTTCTAGGGGTGGTTCTGTAGAAAGTATCAAGTCTGATTGTTTCATATTTCAGGTTATCTTAAATTTGTATCCATCACACGGTGTGTACAGTATTAAGCACCTCGTTGCGTGGTATCAAATCAATAAGGAACTTTCGTCCCATATCCTTGTTGGGGTGGGGGTCCTCTGTTGGGTTCATTGGCTATATATTCTTTTTTTACATAAATATAATTCGGCCTTTGTTACGAAATGTTGGAATTACAATCCGATAGCAAAGATGCTACCAGGAAACCAGGTATTACATCAAAGCATTGACTAACACTCATGCTCAGAGCTTCCCTTGCGCATAGATGTGGTATTGAATTTGCTTCGCGGCCGATGTAGAGAAGCTTGAATTCCTAGAAAGAGTCAGACAACTTCTTTAACTCATGCAGGATATGAACACCATCCACTCTCGGAAGTCCGAGAGTCATTCCATAGATCAACTAGATGAGCAATCTATTTGTAGAATGATTTTCTGGAATCCGCTTGATTTGGTACGCTCAAGGGCCTCCCTGCATGCTAAAGCTCGCTCATGAACCGATCACTGGCGGAGCATTGTGGAACACACCCAGCCTCCACAAACTCTCCATGTTCATTTCGAACAACATATATACCCGGACCCTGCCTTGCGCCCATGGGGATCAAAAGAGCCATCCGTGTTGAACAGAAGCCGGCCTGGAGAGGGTGGCTTCCATACGTGATTGTGTGACTGCACCGCGGGCTCTGTCAAAGGCAATTCCAAGGATGACAGTAGTTCAGAAACCAGATCAAAGATATCTTTTTGGCTGAGACTTCTCTTTCCCATGCACAAAGTTGTTACGGCCGGCTGTTCCAGATACATCACATCACGCATCAAAATATCCCCACCCCAGAAGCTTTGGTGTAACGGTGGCGGTTTAACAACTTGCTGAAAATATGCCTCTGCCCATAATAACTTCGCATGCTCACATTCGACAAGAGCCTGAAAAACAGACTCATCAGTATCAAGATACAATTTACAGGTCCTGTCGTAAAATTGTCACGGCAGATGTCTTTAGTGTGAGGACTTAGTCGCGAGACCAGCGCATCTATGCGGTAACTTGAGAGGGGTTGAAAGACAAAGATTTAGACAGCTTCGGGCCCCGGGAAACATCATCCGGTAATAACCCTACATGCTATTTGTGGCTAGGTCTCATTATGATCATGAGGGAGTCGCCGGCTTGGCCGGCTCTTTGTGTCTAGCCCTAGAGATTGTTTCTTCTCCCTTCTTGGGGTGCCCTGCCCCTCCTTATATAAGTTGAAGGGACGGGTTACATGTGGAGTCCTATTAGGATTAGGACTAGTCTATTACAAGTGGAGTCCTAGTCTTGCTTCCTTTGTAAGGAAATATTCTTTACGCTTTCCTCTTAAACCGGCCCATCATACACAAGCCGGCCTTCTGGGCCTTGGGCCTTGTCATCCGTCTGACCCGCCGTCGGGGCCATTAGTGAGTCGTCAGGCTTATGAGTCGTCAGACCAGTGAGCCGCCAGACTCGTGAGTTGCCAGTCCTCTGGCGGGTTACCAATGAAAACGCCAAGCCCGGCCGGGTCATATACCGCGGGATATATCCCCGACAGGTCCCTTGTTCCATCACATGTCGCCGGGCCAACGAAACAAAACATGGCAATATATCTTTCAGAACACGCCACCAAAAGACCCAGATTTTTGGGACTAACTTCAGCTTCCAGAGAGCTTTCCAAAGGGCCCCACAATCTGTCATTTGCGCTTCCCGCTGCACCTTCATTTGCAGAAATATCCTTACTAACATTATGTAGCTTCCTCAGGGTCTCATTGACAAAAGGAAGCAGGCTGTCCCGTGGCCCTGAAAGATAAAACCAGACCTTGTCCCACTCTCGGATCGACTTCGGGAGTTTCACGGGAAAGAACTTGGTAGTAGGTCGGAGTCGTAGGCTGACCCCTCCGAGGTCACAAACAGCGTCACATTTCATCTGGACCTGTACTCGGAATAAGCACCAGAATAGCTCATAGTGAGCAACCGTTTTGAGAAAGCACTCGCAAAAAGTGATGAAATTGGAACCCTGTTAGGCCGAATGTGATGCAGTTGACAACCGAAGAAGTAAAACAGACCGCGCATAAAGCTGTGCAGCATGAAGCCGAGCCCTCTCCCAAAGTACTCCTGATGAAGCACATGTCCGCAGGCGTCATGAGACCTCGCCGTCGGGGATTCAGCGCACCAGATCTGCCCGCATAGACTTCTCAGCCACGAGCTAGTCGAGTTCATCAACTAAGACCACCGACGGGAACCATTTCCCCATTGTCTCGTTGGCTACCCGCAATGATGGGCACAAAAATGTGAGGGAACACATCTTAAGTATGAGCAATGTCACAACAAAGCTCAAAACAATGAAGTGTGACATGAGCGAAGAGCTTCTTGTGCTCTTAGTTCTTAAGTCACTACCCTCACAGTTCACTCCATTCAAGATAAACTATAGTTCTCTTGAAACGAAATGGACACCGCCTGAACTCATTGCACACCATGTTCAGGAGGAAGAAAGAATGAACAGTGAACAAAAATACCAAATTTTCCATGTCCACTCTTCAAAGAGAAAGCATGAAAACACTGGTCAAAGCAATAACGTGCCCAATAAAAATCTTTTTTTAAAAGAAGAATGCTCCAAAGCTTAAGCAATGCAATGAGCCAAGTTGCTCACGTTTTGCTCCTCCAGCGCATGTTGCTGTTAATCTAACAAATTGCGATGGAGAGAGACTTTGCAACTTCTGCAAATAGCCAAATTCGGAATGTCTGGGTTTTCTTAAGTGGCTGAATAAAAATGGTAAGGATGAGATCACTCTAGTAGATGAATCTCTATATGTTGATTTTTTTTCTTCTAAATTTACCTGGTAGATTGACTCAGGTGCGACTGTTTATGTCACAAATTCCTTGCAGGGATTCCATATAAGCCATACCCTGAGAAGGGGTACAAGAAGATTTAAAGCCATGAATGGAAAGGAGGCTGAAGTTGAAGCCGTGGGCTCCCTCATCTTGAAGTTGCATACTGGTTTCCTCCTTCGGCTCAAAGACACTCTTTTTGTACCTACATTGAGTAGGAACTTTAGGTTTGTTTCATGTTTGGATGACTTTGGTTTTCATTGTACCTTCGGGAAGAAATAATGTTTCATTAAGTACTGTAATAATAATGTTGGCCTTGCCATTAGATGGGGCAAATTATATATGTTCTATGAAATGAATGTGAATGAATGCAACCATCAGACGAATGGGAGAAGTATTGATCCTTCTTCGAAACTGTGGCATCATCGCTTGAGCCACATATCAATGGGGAGAATGGAACCATTGCTTAAAGTAGAAATAATTACTCTGCTAGATTTCTCTGATGCGGTAAATTGTGTTGACGGAAAAAATATGTCGAAACCATTAAAAAAGGAGCAGTAAGAGCCATAGGGGTCCTTGAACTTATTCGTACTAGCAAGGACCTTTTAACGTAAAGTGTGTGGATGTTTTGATTCTTTCATCACCTTCACATGTTATTTCTCTCGCTATGGCTACATTTCCCCTGTATGTGATCGATCTGAAGCTTTGGACAAATTTAAGATCTATAAAGCTGAAGTTGATAATCAAATCAGCCTATGGTCTCATGGGGGGGTAGTATGGTAGGCATGCTCCCCATGGGTAAATTACAGGTCTGTTCACCAAATATCTTGTTGATAATAGAATTGTTGCCCAATATTCAATGCCTAGTGAACCTCAGCAAAATGAGCTGAGCGTCGTAACCGCGCCCTTATGGATATGGTGCGGAGCATGCTTAGTCATGTGAGTTTACCATTAAGTCATTGGATGGAGGCATTGAAAATTGTGCACACATCTTGAATCTTGCTCCAAGTAAGTCAACACCAAGCACACCTTTGTTTCTGATACCAGCTTTCTTAGTTACGAGCTCACTTTCGCTGACTTCCTCCTTAGTGTAGTCTCAGTAAATACTTTAAGAAAAAGTTCCTTAGCCTAGTCTATATCTACAGCTGACGTGACTCGGTGCTGACGCCTTTCCCTTTGTAGATGGATAAGTTTTTCCAGTTCCTTAGTATTACTTAAAAAAGGAAACTTTGTAATTTCATAACCTTAGCATGGGAAAGAAATCGAGCTTGAATTACTTGCATGTGTGGAGCTGCCCTACTGAAGCTAAACTATTCAATCCACATATTAAGAAGTTGGACCCAAAGACAGTTAGTCGTTTTTCATTGGGTACCTCGTAGAGGAAAAGGATACCAGGTCATACCACCAAGTTTGTAGAAACCAAGCAAGTGGTGTTTTTAAGGATAATGAAGTCAATGAGGTTAGGTCGATTCATCTTGAGAAGCGGATGTATGTTCCATCCCCGTTTATCCAAGAGAACTTTGACCCTATGCCTAATATATACGTGACACAAAGTGGTGATCCTGAACCTAAAGTGGATCATCAGTCAACGAGGAGCCTCGGCCTAATGAAGATCCTCGGCATGATGAGGATCATCAGTCTAATGATGATCCTCAGCTCAATGTTAATCTTTGTCCTTTCCGGGAAAGAAGAAATGTACAAAA